GCTCCTGATTGCTTTATCGAGCCAGTTATCTACCTCCGCTTCACTCCGTACAAATGTATCCTTATATTTCCAGTTCATGGTGGCATTTTCACCGGTACATTGTGAAATATTTAGCTGATGTGATGAAAACGGCGATGGCCAACCGGCGAACATCACCCCATCAACTCTTCTGAAAACGAGAAAAGTTACGTAAGTGATTCTGAGAAAGATTAAAAAAAATGCCATATTTCATTCCGTGTAAAAAGCGAGGAGAGGTGACGTTTTGGGATGAGGTAGCGCTGCTCAAGAACACCTCGAAATAGCCTGGCCAGGTGTCCGCACCAAAAAAACCCTGCGAGAAGAGGAAAACCTGGCGATCGTCTACAAACTGACCTACTGGCGAAGCAGTATCAGTGAAATTTAAAAAAAAAAATCCAAAATGACAGAAACTGACCGTTTTTGCCAGCCATGAAGTATGAAATCCTGTTTGCCCCACATCGAATCGGTAAGCCAAGTATCGCGAGCCCATGCTTTGCCTTTTGGTAGGATGCGCAATTTATTCGGCCAGTACGGTGTTTCTGTGGTGATATTTCGAACACAAACCTCATAAATACTCAGATCATCAAAGTTCCTAGAAAAAAACCCCAATAAAAAAGAAGACATCAAATTTTTTCTTACGAAAAATTAGCTGGTCAATATCCATTTAAGAACTAACTGATCAAAACCACACAAAGATCAAAACCACCAAGTAAGTTGTAATAGTTGAAAGCGTATCTGAGCAAAATTTTAGCCGGAAAAACCGAAAACTCCTGGATTTTGTTGCAAAAAGAAATGCAAAATTTATTTTTTATTGCAAGTAGGTCGCTACCTGTAGCCGAAAAAACCGAAAATTTCCGATTTTTGGTGAAAACAGAAATGCAAAATTTATTTTTTTGTAGCAAGTAGCCCGATATCGAATATGTTTTTTATAGAATCAGAAAAAAAAAACAAGTAGATCGAGTGTGTGAAAATCGTTTTATGACGGCAACATCAAATGAATGTGAAATTAATGGGGAAAAAAGGGGCCTACAGAAGGACAGATTTTTTTAAGCACAAAAAGAGAGACTTACTTCGATTTCTCCCAAATAGTTTCGCAAAATTTTCTTTCATCAGCTTTTTCTGGTAACATATATTCCAGTATAACATTCTAAAAAAAACACGTCTTTTGACATGTAACTATTAAAAAAAGGTATTAAATGGAAGGATAGCAATATGAGGGGAGAAAGTAAGACGTAGAATCAAAGAGACCAATAAAACTGCTCAGAAGTAGGCAATTTTCTGATAGCAAAAATTTGTTGATACAATATCATCATATTCTTTTTTGCTAATTTTCCTTCGGCAATTTTCTGATAGCAAAAATTTGTTGATGCAATATCATCAGATTTTTTTTTTTGCTAATTTTTCTCTCTTTCTACTATTCAATTATCTTTATCGCAGTCTCAAGAAATCAGTCACATGCATGTCCCAGGCATGGCAGCATAAGAGGTATTACAAGCTCTGAGAGGAAATCGAACTGCTCGTCTTCATATCCAATTGCGACGTGCTCAAATGTGAAGAGGAGTGGTTCGATTTCCTTCCAGTGCGCCCAGCCTTCGTGGTCCAAGTAACCTGCTAGAGAAAAATTATTTTTTGTATGTCTGGCACTTCCATACATTGCCTGGCTAGGACACCCTGTGCAGCACACTCTTTCAACAACTGCCGGCTTTTCGCGGAACTTCCTCAACACATGTGAAACTGTGCTAGCACTAATAAGCCAATCGTATGTGTCGGATATGGGTGTTCTAAGACCGGCTGTGCTTCAATACAGCGATTTATCCATAGGCAATATCTACTTAGGGCCAGGAGAGGCAAATTTCGCAGTCCGAAGCCAAACGTGCTTCAAAACGTTTTTTTTTTTTTTTTTTTTTAAATTCTTATAAAAAAACCGCAAACGGTTCACAAATTAGGGAAGATCGACAGCTAAAATCAACAGGACAATCGCACGGTCTGGCAATTTCTTGGTTTTCTAAAGAAATTTGAAAGAATTCTTCAGCAATCAAAAAAAACCCAAGAAATCTGACAAGAATGATTTTTTTTTCTTACGTGAATTGCTCCGTTGTCTGAACCGTGAACTGAATTTGGCAGCCTTGTTTCATATTCAGCCCAGAATCGAAGAAAATTCTGTGAATACACCGTATTCCTGCAGGAATTGTCAGACGAGTTGGTAAAATTCAAACTTTTAAAAATTCTTTGGACCAAAAAAAAATGAAGCCTCAAAAGTTTTTATAAAAAACAAAATCGAAAAAGTCTGCATGAGGCACTCTTTTATTTAATGTTATTTTTATCAGTTTACAGAAAAATCACTTTGCACTTGATCTGTAATAATTTAGCTCCCAAAGAACCGCAATTTTCTCAAACACATATTTCTTATATTTGAACAGTAGTAGGTTGACCAAAAGTAGTTCAAAAATACATTTTAGAAGTTTGGTGCTAGGAACGTTGCTTCTTCACATGTATTAGTTTCAAGTCTTTATAAGTTCACAACGACAGATACAGGCCCTTAGCGCCCTAGGACTGCCAGGTTCTTCTTCGCATGTTCTAGTTTCGATAGTTTTTTGGCTTTTTTTCTGCACGAGTTAATTTCAAGTGTCGTTCTTTTTTTCAAAAATCCTTTCATTTTTCACTACGGTAGTCAATAATTTCACCATTTTTTCTTATAATTTTTTTTAAAAAAAAATGCAACCAACTTTGCTAAATAACTTCCAGCCATAATTTCGTGATTGAATATTCGATTGTAAAAAATGATATTT